TGCTGTTGTGCCACAGAGGAGGGTGCCCCAAAGGGTTCTGGTTAGGGGCACCAAGCCAGCTAGCAGAGCTGGAGCCCAGAGGGGGTAAACGGGGATGGGGGATGTGCCTCCGTGTCCTGGGGTGCACGGTGAGCCCACTGTTGGGGGATGTCCCGTGTGGCCCTCCTCTGCTCACCTGCAGCAGCCCCAGTGCAGGCAGCTGGCAGCGGCCTTCCAGCTCAGCAATGAGGGTGGCCAGTTGGGCACTCTGCTGGCTAAGGCGCACAGCACCCTCCCGCAACCGGGGCAGCACCTCTAGTTCCTCTTCCTCCAGCCTCTGTAGCAGTTGCTGTTCCTCCTCAGCAAGCAGACGACGTAGACGCTCGAATTCACCAAGCATATTCTGTCGCTGGCTCTCCACCATCTTCTGCGGGGTCAGAGGAACAGTGAGGCTAAGACCCATCTCCCGGGGCTCTTTGTACCCCAAATCCACCACCCAGGGCTGCCTGGATCCCAAATCTACCACTTGGGGCTGCCTGGACCTCAAATCTACCACCCATGGCTTCCTGTATCCCTAAACCATCACCCCAAGCAGTTTGGACACAAAATCTGACACTCAGGGCTGGCCAAGCCCTGAACATACCCACTGGGGCTTCCCAGAAGTACAGCTGACCATTCAGGGCTCTCCAGACCCCAAACCCGCCTGCTTGGGGCCTCCTTGACCTCAAACCTACCCCTTGGGGCTACCTGGACACCAATACCAGCCCTGAAGCCAGCAAGACCCCAAGTCAACAACACAGAGCTCCCCAGATCCCAAATCCAGTTCTGGGGCCACATATACTCCAAACTTGCCAACTGGACCCAGCAGATCCTAAGCTATCATCTTGCACCAGCCACACTCCAAACCTACTACCCAGTGCTAGTCAGACCTTGAATCTATCTCCTGGGGCCACCCTAACCCCAAATGGTGTGCCAAGGCCCAACACCTCTGTCCTTTATCCCAAACCATCTGGGGCCTCCCCACATCCAACCCCTCCGGGATTTCCATGCCTGGTTCCCCTACCCTGAATCTATCACCTCAAGGATGCCAAGAGTCCAGGACAGACACTTGGCAGGTAGACCCCCCACACACAAGTGTGCACACTCACACACACCCTCAGCCTCCCCTCCTCTCACCCACCCTTGGTGGACTTGCAGTGACTGATGACCTCAAATTTAACCAACATTGTCTCCAGGGCAGACTCAGGTAAGTGTCCTCTCCTCCTGTCTCACCCACTGCTCCTGCCACCCAGACCCTAGGCCCAGCACCTGCCTGCCACAAGGCACAGGTCTCCTCAGCCTGGGCTTGGAACAGCAGTGCATCCTCCATTTGTCTCCGCAGGTGCTCCAGAGACTTCTCCAGCCTCCCCTGGGGATACAGAGTGGGGACAGAGCCATGAGACTCCCCAAGAATACCTAGTAACCTTGCTCCAAGGTGGATCTGAAGGCCCTGGCACTCCCTGCTCTAAGCAACCTCTCCTCTCATCCTTCTCCTCCTCCCACAATGTCAGTGGTTCTGGTCTGCACCAAGGCAGCTAACAATGCCTATATCACTACTCCAAGGAGATGGTGCTAGAAAGTAGAGCTTGAGAGACAAAAGGGCTGAGAGCCTCATGCCCCGCTCCACAGGACACCCCAAAATGACACCTTGAACCCCAACCCTGCATTCCAGCCTTAGGATTTAGCCAGCCATCTCTGTATGGCCAGACAGGTCACAGCTGAGCCTCCATACCCTATGTGTGGCCAGGAGTTCGGTCAGTGGGGCCTTGAGTAGGCCCTGGCCTCCTCCTATACTAAGCCCTCCTCTCCCCTCCAGCTGTCTGTTGTACAAGCCAGACAGAACTGGGATGTCCCTTTGGGGTTCAGCTCACGTGTGATCACCAGTCAGGGCCAGGCAAGGAGTGTGCCCTATGGGATGCTGTGTAGCCTGGAGACTCTGCAAAGTGGAGGGACAGTGTTGTCAGTAGAGCTGAGCTGTCCAGACCCGCAGGGCAGGGAGAAGCTGGGCCTTCCCCAAGGTGACCAACTATAGGCACTTACAAGAACAAACAGGCGGAGGACACCCAACCCAGAGAAGCGCATTTGGCAAATGGGAAGAAACCATCTAAAAGTAACCCTCGAATCTCCAAGATGAAAATACAGCCTTGATCTTCCATCGCTCCCTTACTAGCCTCACTTCCTATAATTTATCAGCCCTGGAAGTCCAAGCTTCCTTCCTTGTCTCTAACTTTTCCATGACTTATTACGCTTTATTAAAATGGTGCATATGTGAGCCCAAATCTAACAGTGCCTCTGGATCTTTCATTTATTTTCTGTGAAGCCTCTGTTTATAAGAAATTTAAAATATTAGTAAAACTTTTCTGTATGTGCCCTGTGCCAGCTTTCTAGATCCCAAATAATAAATTCAACATGATGGAGGAGAAATTTCTTTCCTGCAACAGAAGGGGTTAAGTGCTGTCCCCTGAGACTCCTGGGGCAGCTCTGGGAGCCCCTGGGACTTTCTGCACTCATCCTGGTTCCTAGTGGTGGGAAGGAGAGCTGGCAGGCTGACTGGGGTATGGATGGCACTGTATGAAGCAACAGTGAGAAGAAATCCACAGGCATCTGTCTATAGATAGGCCCAGCAGAATGTGTCTAAGTCTTTTTCAAACTCAAGGCAAAGGGTGTTGCTGCTCAGATTTAGATTCAGAAGTTCCTTCTATGGGGACTCAGAAACAGGGACAGCTACACGTTCATCTGATCCACTTCTCATGCAATGCACACAACTGTCTGTAATGCAAAACCTGAGCCGCTGTGAAGGTGCAGCTCGGTGGCAAGAGCTTCCCCAGCATAAAGAAAAGCCACAGCACCTTGGCAGGACACCGACCAGGCTCTCTGGGAAGTCTGTCTGGGTTTTAAGCAAAGAAGGTGGGTGCCACTCTGTGGTCTGAGAGGTAGAAATGGCCCCCACTTCCCATACACAACCAGCACAGACCTGGAGCAAGCGGGGTTGGGGATCAAAGATTCTGTCTCCATCTTTCCAGCTTGGCCTCGGCAGGAGCTTCCCCAGGGTTCAGCCCTGGTCCCGAGGCAGGTCTCTGCCCACAACCCTCAGTTTTTAGAAAGGTCGCCTGGGAGTCATGTAGGGCCAGCCGCCCTGACCACCACTTTCTGCTTCTCCAGCTCCTTCCTGATCCGTGGCCCGCAGCATTACCCTATTTCTTCCACCGATCCTCGCACCATCCCTGTGGGGGCTCCACCTCACCCCTAACCCTGAGCGCCCAGTGTCCCTGAGTCCCAGAGATCATCGGCATTTGGGCTACTCCTGTCCCTGCAGCATAGGCCTGGGACAGGGAGAATACGAGTCCCCGCCTCGGGTCCTATCCTGGCTGGTGGGCGATCAGCCCCGCCCTGGACCCGAACCCCCAGCCCAGGCCCAGCATGAGCTGCGCATCAAGTACCATGTCCCCGCCACCCCAGCATCCTATCCCCGAGCTCCCCCTTTAGGGCGCACCTTGAGCTCCTCAGCCGCGTCCTGTAGCGGCCTCACGCGGTGTGCCCAGTGCTCGCCCGCGCGCTCGCAGGCTGCGCACAGCAGGCGCAGTTCGTCGGCGCAGAAGGC